GTGGTTTGCGCCATGATTTTCTGCTTGGCGTGCTCGCCTTGGTGAGTTCTCTATCTCAAAATGTCCTTAAATTGTAATCTTCTGCCTACCATACAGCACCATCTTACATAGAACGACTGTCATCCTTCTTTATCCCTTCGAAGTGTGAACTGCGTTATTTTTTGGGATATGACATGATATGACGTCTATCAATGAAGCGATCTTCCCATTTTTTGTACAGATTTCTTTGGGATGTTTTGAGTCACCGAGATTTGCTGAGGCCTGGGGATCACTGTCCTTTGCAAGCAACAAATCACTCCACTGACTCCACTGCCTCCCTCTGCGGAAGAAAGATACAGTACATATCATTACAATTATACAGACATATAATATATACAGACATGATATTTGATTTTTGAGATTTCCGAAAGTGTTTTGCGACGATTTTGACGGCTTGTCATGGTTCAACATGGTCTCCACACTTTCAGATCTTTCAGACCCAAGATACGGTACAGCTGCTGCTCCATCTGCCCCTCTGGGATGCAGGTACGCAATCCATCAAGATTGCCCAAGCAAGAGCAAAAGATGCTTGGGCAAGGCTTCCTCGGAACATGAAGAGAGCCAATGATGATAACAGATGCGTTCCTTCCTCTCTTTGTATCGATAGGCCAAGGAGGCATCCAATGACCCCGACCATACAGACACTGGTGGCTTTGGCTCGACCAACCACCGGAGCACAAACACCCACCAGGTAGGTGAAGCAAGCCTTCACCAAGGGCTCAATGGCTTGAACCACGCTGATCTGGACAACAGACATGCCATAGATGTTGATGAAGAAGAGGGGGAAAAATTTGAAGACCATCCCTGCGGCCAGTGCAAGAATCAACAGTGCCAACAGCACCACATAGGGTACCCAAGCTCTCCCTGTCTTGATCTCTGTTTGGATCTCTGGTTGTTCGGCTGGCAGGTCCTTTGACTCTTTCTGAGCTTGGGGGAAAGCAAACAGAGACAGCATCACAGGGACGAGCAAAGCAAAACCGGCCAAAAGAGCTGACTTGGTCTGGAAGCCCGTCCAGTCTTCAGGAGCCTGGTGCTTTCGAGGACATTCGAGGACTGGTGTTGGTTGGGGATGTGCTGGTCGGATTTTCATACTTGGGGGATCCCAACACTCAAGCCAATACTCAAGCCAGTCTTCATGCCATGTTCGCCATGTTCTGCTCTTCAAAAACCATACTTCTCTTATCTTCTTTTCTTATCTGTTTAATCTGTTTCGGCCTGAAAGGAGAGCAAAGTCAAGGCATAGGTGGCAGAGCCCGCAGCCGTCCCCAAGTTTTGAAAGACCTGGACGTTGGCGAAGGCAGCTGTCCGTTGATCCAGGCTCCGCGACGCCAGGCTGTCCGTGAAGATCGCCATGGCAAGACAGCTAGCGAACTCAGCAAAGATCACGAATGCCACCTGGCCGAAAATCCACAAAATACATCAAAATTTGAATCAAAATGCAAAATATGTGGAATCAACAGCTGTCTTTGTGCTCCAATCTTGGAATTGAGATGTCCATCTCAAATTATCTAAACTCAAGAGTGGTGCTCTGGAAGCACCTTCAGAAGATGGTACGTGGGGTACAGTATGCTAGTACGCTAGGGTGTACGGTATGGTGGTACGGGTGGTACGGTACGATGGTGCGATTGGTACTAGTTTATGGTACGAATGGTACTAGATTCTGGTACGTATGACACAAAATGGTATAGTACAATGTAGTACGATTGCTACTATATTTATGTGATAAATCGGAAAAGTAAGATATGCAAATGACAAAATATTAATCTATGACTGTGACTAAGCATTGGGTTGGTGCTTCATTGTGAAGGCTTAGTCCCCATTATTCACTATTCACATGACTGTGACTAAGCATTGGGTTGGTGCTTCACCCGGATGAATATTTTTTTTCTCTATCTCCTGCTCAGGGTTTGCTCTCTGCTCGAATTGATCAAGTGTTTCTGATCATTCTGTACGAAAGCCGGTTTGGAAAAGTTCGATTTCCATGATCCGGAAAGACAAGTGTTGAGTGTTTGTGTTATTAAATTTCCTAAACGGGACGAAGACGAAAGCAAAAAGCTATTGTTTCGCCTGAAACTCAACAATATCAGTATATATAAGTTATGATTTGATTTATGTTAAAGTCAGGGAAATTTTTCCTACAGCCAGCTCTGAACCTGTATGGTTCCTCTTGCACGTTCACCTCCCGAACGTTGCGACACATTTCGCAGGTCCAATTTCAAAATGAAATCTTGATTTCTTGATGATACAAGTTACATAGAAATGTAAACTGAACAGTAATAGTAATAGTATATGTTGTGTGGTTGTTTCGGGGTTATTGTTTTAAGGCCAATAATGAAATGAACTAACATTCACATTGAAACTGAAACCACACTGAGCTGGGACCTCGGGAGTGTCTAAGATGAAACCGATGAGACTTGTGGAATAGATGTAGATCGGTCGTATAGTACAGGTCACTCAGTGCGACGGAGATTCTTGAACCTGAGATGAGCGTCACATACTTAAGTTACAGGGGATAAGTAAAGTATGGGGAAGCTAAAAACTATGAAAACAATAAATTGAATTATTAAACCAATAGCCTGTCATATCAGAATCATAATATTGATATTGATATACAATTACAATATATTTCAATAATATTACAATCATGTCACATTCATAGCTCATAGTTCATAGTAGTATGATTCTATCATATCTTACAGCCTGCAACAATAACGTGAAGTAAGTGTAGTAGTAATGTTTTAGATTCTGATAAAAATTAAATGAAGTAAGTTAGTACCGTACAACATAGCTCAATAAAAACACGACACATATCATATCTTCATGTTATGTTTGGATGGTTTAGGGAAATTGATTAAGATGATGCAGCAGAAGAACGTCTGCAGCGCAGTTGCGTTTGCTGACTCCTCTTCCACTTCGGAATCTGTAATATGAGGTAATTCGATAAAGCAAGCCAATAGGATGGCGAGCACGATGGTGCTGCTGAACCTAGGGCAATGACACACACACAGAGCTACGAAACCAAGGCGAAACCAAGAAGGAACACATGTAAAATCAGAATTCAATGAATCAAAACCATTGTATCATTCATTGTATCATTCATTGTATCATTCATTGTATCATTCACTGTATCATTCATTGTATCATTCATTGTATCATTCATTTATCATTCATTTATCATAGCTACAAACAAACACCTTGAGTCTTGGGAAAGTGATGATTGTTGAACATTGAATCAAACCAACTTTGAAATTCGAAAGAACTATACTATCAATTCAATTATCATATTCAATTCAAATTCCAATTACGTTTGGAATATATGTCCTAAATCCCCAATCTCAAAGTGCTTTCAGAGTACGAGTTCCCAGCTAAATCGCAAAGTTGTGGTTCTGTGAATTGATTCAGCACCGCATCCTCAAACTGAAGTCCTTGAAGGTGTAATAGCTCCCGTCCTGCGATATATTTTGCAGTTCATTGATGATGTAGCATAGTATAGCCACATAGTCATAGTAATAGTAATAGGTACTAGTAGCCATCGGTATCAACCACATAATCTCACGAATATATTGTTAGAATCAAATTAGAAACATATTTAACTTAAAAATGCAAAACAATACGCAGCCAAGTATAGTCTACTAGCATGCTATCATGTAATAATAGAACAAAAATGCAACACTAATATTTATTATGATGTAGTAGCAGTAAATATGCTTATGGAAAAAACAAAGACATATTGTATTAAGTTTCGCTCAATATAAAATAGAGTATAGAGTATAGAATATAAAGTTTGTAGAGTATATAATATAGATAGCATATATAGAAAGTACAGAGAGTTATATAGAGTATATATATATATAGATTATAGATTATAGAATACAGAATTGAGTATATAGTATAGAGTATAGTATCATTGTACTATATATTTATTTAAATAAATCATATTCATATTTGCATATAAGATTCAAATCTAAGTTATCATAACTACAATATTAAGAATGTATAGTAACATATCAAATTAAAGCATTATTTTATTATAAGAGTATATAGAATTAGAATATAATTTTGAATTTAAAATTAAAAACATATTTTATTAATATGATACAACACAAAATAATTACACACATGATAAACAGCATAACATGTATATAACTGTATATAATCAATATGTTGTAGTTTTAGCTACCGTTTAACCGTCGCTATATAGTGTAGTTTAGTCTAGAGTCTAGAAGAAAAACACAATAAAGTGTTTATTTAGACATTATCGTATAGTCTTATGTTATAGCATAGAGTCTAGAGAAGTAACATTATATTGGGTATAATAGTTACTATACATTGCCGATGACTATGTTGAATGTTGTTTTTGTTTTTTAAACATCAAATAATGATTTAACAATCTAACTTATCAATTTGACTGTATTTTGTTCCATTATACATTGATGTCTTACTTATTTAGGGTAGAGTTGTAAGATTTGATGGAAATATTGAAATATCACACATTGATGTCTCATCAGTTTCATCGTTTAGTTTGGTCCTAAGACGAGTCGGCCATGCTCAATGTCCCAAAGTTTGGTGGATGGCAACGCTGTCGGAATTTCCTTAGTGTGCGAAAATTAAATGCACGATTGCAAACATCACATAACTCACATATATAATCTATAGTCTAATATGTTAATGACATATTCATCTCATGTCTAGCAACTGTTTCTGGTGACGTCGGAGTGCGTGATGCGCTATGATAGAGATCACCAAAGCGAACAATTGGATTCGTGCCACCAGCTGCTTGTTGAGAGTTCCTCTCCTTGATCAGGAATAATACCACCTCGTCAAGCTGTAGGGATAGGAATCATTTGTTGATTAGCTTTTACATGTTACCATAATTAGTTCAATTAATTGAATTATGATTTATATCTCCTATGTTCAGTTTGAAGTGGTAACAAATCTTTCGACTCTAGAATGAAACCCATTTAGAATGAAAGAGCCTCCTTCTCACGGTCTGGCAGTGTCTGAAACCATTCGTTTCGACCCAAGTCGTCTGTAACTTCAAGGGGCCAGCGAATCGAACCTCAGTGACCACGCGCTGGAATATAATAAATCAACAAATAAAAAGTATCTGAAAAATATAACATTAAGTATATAGTATTGTTTCATATACATATAATATATATATATATATATGTATTGTATTAAAGATATATTATTTATTAATTGTATTATATTTAATATTACATATTTATCAGCTAATCATAAATATAATAGTATATGCTAGTATTACTATATATAGTGAGATCATATTGTCATATACTCCAATCTAATTGATCATTATTTCTATAGGAACTATATAAGATATGTTGCTATAGGGATGTGGGTAGGAGATGGTTTTGTATGAACATGAGATTGATTGATTTGGATAGTTTGATTTGTAAACTTACTATAATGAAATGAAAACAACAACTTAGAATTAAAAAATCTAAAATTAGCAACTATATCATGGATCTAGAATCTAGATATATGCTGCTTAGCAACGGGATTCTGCTAGGGTCATATGCTGTTCTTTCCACTTTGATGATTTCTCGAACTCTACATTGCCCATGTTTTCATCATTCTCAGTGTCCAATTGAACCTGGTTATCCTTGTCTTTGTCTTTCTGGTTGTCCTTCTCTTTCTTCTTGCGACCTTCGGTTCGATCAGCCTGTGCCTTTCGTGTTTGTCTGCGTTCCAATTCAGCAAGAACTGCATCATCAGTGGCATGAAGCAAATAGTCACCCTCAGCGATTGAGTCTGATCTCTTGAACTGTTGTTACTTATTACTTATGTTGATTGCACACACACATATATGATCATATATGTTGAAATTTGAGATTCTTGCGATTCAGGGAAACCGAAAAAAACTATCAACTCTGAAAAGAAAAAATAAAGTACATAACATTTCAAAAAAAGAATCCGGGCTCTGACATTGCAATTTGAAGGCCTCTAGGTGTTTGGTCACTACGTCCATGTTGAAGTCGGGATAATGACGTTTCGAGACACCGAGGAAGAACAACCTGATGCGCCTCTGGGGAAGTCCAAAGTCACGAGTTAGTACTTTGTACACACGAAGCCAGAAACCACCTGCAAGTTCTTCAAGCTGTCGCACAATCAGATCGAGATTGTTGTCATCTGACGATGACTGCTTTGATTCTTCCATGTCAACATTTTCAAGGAGAAAGGTTCGACAATCCACTGACTCTATTGTCTCTTTCGTGCACTTGAATGTGACCACTGAGCTTGCTTCCTTATCAGCGTTCAAAATTTGAACCTAAATATGTTAACATTGTAAAACCATATCAGAGTGTGAGGCGACTTACCTGCAATATGATGCAATCAGCATATATATATAATATAATACATACACCCACATTAGAAAAATAACATACTAAAACATATCGTATCTTTTACAAGTATCTTCGTCCTCGTTTGCCATCGCGTGTTGAAACTTCTGAAAATCTTTGTGAAGTTTGCTGTAGCTCTTGCATGAGAATCCGGCACCCAAAGCAAACAATTCTGACGGAAGCTCCTCAGTTGAGATCTGCAACACAAAACAACACATTAAATGATCGCTTGAAGCTCATACATCAAAAACACATTATCATACTTGTTGAATCACCAAGATATATATAAATATATAGATATAATATATATATATATATAATATTATATATATATATGTTTCAAGTTTCAACTTGGTTTATCAAAAATCTACAAAAAAACTAATGAGAAATGTCACACAACGCATATCTACAATCTACAATATGTTTAAGAATCATATCCAGTCCCATACCCCATCAGAATCTAATCAAGTCTCACAGGTGTCATTGTGACGGATACATTTCCGTTCTCCAGTGAAGAGTTGTGTAGCTTCGGAAAACAAACGCGAGTTGTCCTGGTATGCCGGTAGGAGGAACTTCTGCTTGAACCCAACATTCTCACACATGAAGTTGTGCACGACCTCAGGTTTGATTCATGCATATCAAACATGTAAAGTAAATATTAACATATTGACACATAAGATATGATTCTTCTTCTTTGCTTAAGTTTCCCAGGAGTATCTATTGATATCAAGTTGGTCACTAGTTGAATAGATATGTCCTAATGAAAATGTAATACTAAGATCAAACCAAATAACCTCCAAGTCTTCACATTCCTCGGGATATGTATTTTGAATCGCATCAAATAGCGTCGCGAACACCTTGTTGAAGCAGCCTGTCCCTGTAAACAAATCTGCCATGTTGATTTGTCTCGGTAGTGCACGAATGCGGTCACGCAGACCTGGAATCCTGTGTGCTGCTCGTTTCAAAAGCACCTTGGTGTTCGAAATCACAAAGACATAAGTGAAGCTTGTTGAATGTGGTGTTACCATATATACTATATACATTAATCTCAGTCAAGATACATCTGTTGCTGACTGCAAGATGTCGTTGATGTCAGGATGTGTTTTGTATGATGGTGGACATCGATACAGATCACCATATGGATAACAAGGTTCATCAGCATCGTCTTTGCCTTCAACTTGGTCTGTGTTCCCAAACATCGCATCAGTATCCATCTCCACTTCCATTGTGTTCACCGAATTATTATTGTTCTCGGTCGGCGTCAATGATTCCTACAGGTCAGAGTCATAGTTGTCCTACCAGTGAAAATGTTGTAAGTATAATTGTAACTCATTTTTTAATATATTATATTATATCATTCGGCTAGTTGTCCAATGGTTTGGATTCTAAATATCAAAAGGTCAAATCATCTAAGTAATTATATAAATAGAATCTAAAGTCTAAAAAATCCAAAGCCTAAAGCTAATGTCTAAAGAACCGGAATATCTGTCTACGTCAAGTTGAATTTGCTTAGTAACTGATAATTAACTGCTAACCAGGTGAGTGATAAGTGATAACCATAGTCCTGGTCTTTGATCCATGTCTCGAAGAGCTTTGCATCAGCGGAAACCTCTTTCAACAAAGTGAAGCACATGTCACGATCTGGAAACTCAAAGCGATACTTGTCCAAAGCGTCGGGAAGGTCATGAAGATGGCATGGCATGGCATCTTTGATGTTGTTGATGAATCCAAGAGTTGGTCCACCGCTTGCCAGTTTGTCATGTTTGGCAAACTTCTGCACAAATCTAATCCATTGAGAAACTTCCATCTCTGAATCAACATCTGGTGAATCGATTGTGAAATTCTCGTAGTACGTTGCCTCCATGGCATCCTTGTTGTCACCACTGGTCCAGAAGGCAACATAGTCTTTCCAGACTTCACTGGCCAGTGCTTCTTGAAGAATCGAAGCATAGGTCACTTGCTCTTGCTTGTCCTTGATCAACCACCTTTGGAAGTCAACAAGATCTTGGTGACATGTAGCTGGACTCAGAAATGGATCACGACCATGGGTGTCTTCCCAGAAGGCAGCAAACACCCGAAACCTCTCATGTTTTTGGGCGTCAAGAAACGGCCGCAATGTAAATGAATCAGCTGTTGAAGACTCCCCTGCCGATAAAGCACCTGCAACCATCTCTGAAAGATCATCACGAAGACTATCTTTCACTTTGACTGGTTCTTCTCCATGGTCTTGTTTTTGATCAACATCACACGGTGTGGGGTTGTTGTCCTTTTTCATATGCTCGATTGGGCTCTGTGACGTCGATTGGTTGTCCACAGTCGGATCAGCTGCAACATCAAGGGGATTGGTCACACTACTTGCGGCAGGTTCACCCAACGTAGCTCGTGAATCTTCTGCAGGTTGTGCTGGCTTGGTCTTCGTCTCCTGAGATTTTGTTGTGATAACAAACGATGAAGTAAGTCAGAAGTGAGAAAGAAACCTCGTATCATATGTACTTAATGTAGAGTGTATATGTATGTATATACCATTACACATTACATTACTACTACTGCTACATATACATTTATCTAGAATCTGAAATCCAAAATCTAAATCTAAAATCTAAACATAAACTTAAACCAAGGCAAAGTTTCAGTCTCAGTAGTTGTCTCAGCTGTGTGTCCTTTGGAAACAGTGTCTGCGTTCTTGGTATCCTTTGGTTTGGAAAAACCCAATGACGTCCACTGTTGTTGATACTGAGCAACCTGCTCTGGAGGTAGTTGTTCTATGGCATCATCTGCTAATTTCTTCCTCCTTTTGTTGCCTGTCGATTCTGCTGACTTTGCCGTAGCCTTTGCCTTCTGTTCTGGCTCGGCTATGGTTTCATCTTTCTTTTTTTGGGGTGCCATAGCGTCAAACTATCGAATCTGCAAACTATCAAATTGATCCAAAATGTCTTCTAGATTCTAGATTCTTACTTCCTTGCAAACACAGAGAGGGAACTGACAGAGATCAAAACTCAAAGACTGAAACATTCAAGTTCAATCAACATTGGCCGAGTCATCTTTAGTTACTATAGTTTGCATTTCTGATTCTATTCTACTCAACTCATTCTACTACATTAGTCGCTGATCAAACGAACTGTTCAGTCTGGAAGTTTTTGCAGCCGTCGATTCAACCAGAACTAAGTCTATCTGACGACTCGCGCAATCCCGCACTGCACGGTGTGTCAAGTCCCTAAGATAAACATAGCGAACCAGCAACAGAATGACATCCCTCCTGCCTTCAAGCAAGGGAGTCATAAAATAATGAAAGCAAGTTTCGACGCTGCCATATGACTCAGAAATCAGAAGTTCACAATCATCAAAAACTATGAATAATTAGGACTAAGGACATAGGTTTAGGCATATGATATAAACATAAACGCAACAGAAACATAAACAGAAACAAAGACTATTGTCATGAACTGAGACCCCCGAAACTGAGCCACTAGTGTTGGCATTAGATCGGCTACATTAAGCAGCCAAGCCACATGTTGAATTTGCAATTGGAACGAACTAAAGCAATGAGATGGCCATCGACAGTTGTTGTCGTCGAACTTGTCACTCCACTGCTCATTAGATCACTGAGTCCGAAACACAAATTTAGATTGGAAACTCAACAACACCATAACAAACATAAGTTGATTTGATTTAATTTATGAATCTATGAGTTCCATCCTTGCTTCAATAACAAACATAGAAAATGTTGGAATGAATGCTCAGTCGTCTGACTTGTCTGTGTTCTTTGTTTGAACACTGTACTGTGCTGCCTGTGCCTGCAATGCACCAGGAATGATTAGCGTGTGCTCTTTACAAGTGCTCAATGTCTCTGCTAACTCAGAAGTCAACTTCGATGGGATTGGTGAATTGGATTCAACTGCCTTGGTAAATCGCTTCGCACTCAAGATTCGAACCAATACCATAGTCGCAATCACTGATAGGAGGTTGTTCATGACGGCCACAGCCTTCTCAAGGACATGCATTGAGAAATTAAAACATAGTTTGTTTAGGTTAGTTCATTAAGTTTGTAACTCGAAGAAACTAGAATGGAAGACTGGAAGGGTAATCAAACTACAACAAATGGATCTTAGAGTTAGTTGTGAAATACAATGTCTAAGTAAATGCAACCAAACAAGACTTAGTAATTTAGAACCTAGACCATGTTGCGAGTTGGGAGTGTGAAAAATGGGAAATCGGAAATCATATGATATCTTTAAACAGTTCAGGCCTGGTCATACTTGGTTGTGTCAGATTCACAGTTCGCAATCTTGATTTCATTCATCACCGCGCGCAACTTGTTGGCATATCCCGAGAGTTCCGGAACGCGATCACTGAAAGCTGTGAGTTGTGGAAAATCTCGATCAAGCTTTGGTAGGCTCTTGTCATCACTAGGTGCATAGCTCAAGGAGGAGGTATCTGGTAACTTCAGATCTGTTACACATTCAACAGCAGCATCCAATTCAACTGCCTCCCAGGGAACTTGTCAGTGCATTAAATTACATGTTCTAGTTCTAAGATTATAACATAGAAATAGTATATCAAATTATCAAACAAATATAAATCTAAACTAAACCTAATCTAAAATATAACGAACTGGTTTTGATTAGATAAAGTCAAAACTATAACTTAAAACAATTATATAGTTAGAACATTTAGTTGCTATATGACTAGTCATTGACTCCACGGTCAGTTTAGCTTAGTTACAGAGTTTAGTTTGTAACCGGCCTTCTGGCTTGTCCATGTATGCAATGATTTGGAAGCATCCTCACTAAGCTTCGCGCACATCTGACCAAAGTGCTCCGCAGTCAAGGGCAGCTCCATGGTCTTGTTCTGAAGAGTTTTGAGAACTCCCACAGCCAACATGTCAATGTCCGTGTACTTGTTGAAGTCGTCAATGCATGCCTTCAACTTCTTGACTAAGTCTCCCTGAGCCACATCTTCTGCGAGTTGATGACTTTGTGTGACTTCCACAAGTCCAAAAAGTGTATCTAGAAATCCACAAGATTTCAGCTGAACATTGCGTCGTTCTCCATCAGGTGGCAGTGCTGCTGCAAGAAGGGACAACCGTTCCGTGTACTTGGCAATCTCCTGAAAATCGAGCTTGCGCTCCTTGAGCGGTTCTTGCAACCTGCCCAAAGACTCCAGCAAGAATACCTTCGCAACATCACCGTCCTTCTCAGTCACACAGTCACGCAAAGTTCTCAGCTCAGCCATTAATCCCTTGATACAAGCGGAAAAGGCTCCAATCTCATCTTTGGTGACCGAGGGGATCAAGATTTCCAGAAAGTCCTGCATGTAAATTCTAGACAAACGATGTCAATAATTTCAAGACATTCTATTCTAAACCATAGCCACACATTTGCAAGTTAGATCATATAGTGTAAGGTTTAAAGTGTAATAGAGAGAATGTAACCATTAAATATAATTAAACCCTAATAGAAATAAAATATTATATTGTTGTATGTATAATATATATATATTAATCTAAATATATATATATATATTAATCTAAATATATATATATTAATCTAAATATATATATATATATATATTAATCTAAATATATATATATATATTAATATATATATATTAATATATATTGTATCATGTTCCAAGATATAGTTAGTTAGTTGGGTAGTCAGTTAGTTAGTTGGTTGGAATGCTGGTTAGTTAGCTAGTTAGATGGTGAGTTGGCGAGTTAGTTAGTTAGTTAGTTAGTTAGTTAGTTAGTTAGTTAGTTAGTTAGTTATTTAGTTACTAAATTAGTTAGTTAGTTTTCTTAATCTATCCTGAAGAGAAAACAAAACAGAAGTCTGAAGACATATATACTTGAAAAAAGGAAGAAACACATGTTTATGAAGTTCAGTCCTCAAAGTCGCAGATCGATTTGGCAAAGCCAGTGAGCAGGTTATGTAGCTTCTCCCCGTTTGCCACAATCACACCACTCTTCATGCCGATAGTCTCCTTCGAAACTGCACATGCTTCACCAAGTAGATCTTGAAATGGCTTGCACTGATCAAGTCGTGTCAACTTTGCTACATCCTCATTGAGAGCGTCAGGTTCCTTGAAGCATCGCTGGGTCTTCATGGATTCAATAGAGTTGTCCAGCCATGGAGTAACCTTCCAGCAAAATAATGTGATATCAGTACAGGAAATATAAAGGTGTAACATTTTGCAAACAATTTCAATCAATATCAAAAATGAAATTTCTCAAAGTTGAATAATATATGATTAGCATTAAAAAAACACAGTTATTCATATTGTTAAACCAACATCAACAATAAGTTTCATAAAATACGTGCCTCTGATTGGCAGATGTACCACACCACAATGGCCATAGATTTGCGCACAAGGGTTGCAAAGCCATCAACAGCCTCCTTCCCAAGAACTTTCACCTGTTGCCGTGAAGATCGTAGCTTCTGCAAAGTATCAGCACCATTGAGAATGCATTGGCACCTGCAAAACGCAAACTGATGTGACAACAATGTATAAAAAATCTTAAGCACAGACTACTCGTGCAGACTACTGACCTATTGTCAGCTCATATAGCCATGACTAATAAAACATTATATTTAGAGCCTAAAACATTAATTAAACTAAAAGTTAACTTTAATAACATATGATCTAAAGTAAATAATAAAAAAAAACTAAATAAAAAAAACACACCAAAACCTTTGTTAGAAACTAATAATAAACAATTGACAGGCAAAGACATAATTCAAAACTAAAAGTTAAATGAAGTCATGATACCATTTGCTCAAATCATCATCACGTTTGAGCTGCCCTTTGCTGATGAGATCCTTGAGAGGATCAAATGCTTCTGCCACTGATTCATGTAGCTGCTCCTCTGATCCCCTTGACTCTAAAACCACCTTCGCTTCAGCCACAATCCTTGGGCCAAACGTTGTGGCCATGACCACTGCGCACAGCTGTGATGAGGATCCCGTCTTGGAAGACCTGATTTCAAGGCTCAGGCCAAATATACTCTTATAATAATGAAAGAATTTTAACATATCACAACAAACTAATAAACCATATCAATATCATTTGAAAACAAACTATATACAAGCAACAATAATGATACCTCATAACTTGCCAAGCAACTTTGAGACATGGCTCATATGTTCCACTGCAAACTTCAGTTTGGCAAGGGGAGCTGAATCTTTGCGAATGAGATGCAAAATGATACCAGCTTCGTCGGCAAGGTTGCTGACTGGGCTGCCATAGATAGCATCAAGAAACTTGGTAAGCTTGTCAATGGCAGGCTGTTGCTCCTGAAGCTTCACAGGCTGCATTTTAAAAAGTAAATGTTGATAAGTTGAGAATGAAAACCAAATAGCATACAAACTCAAACTATTGTCCCTGAAGCTTTTTCCAATTTGCATTTTAAAACTAACCACCACTATATCCAATTGTTTTCTCTCCTTCTTCTGAGCAATGACCCACTTCACCAGCTTCTGCAAAGACTGTGCAATGGTAGTGGCAAAGAAGTCGTCAGCAGTCTCCTTGGGATTCTCCTGATCATTTTCGAACCGCTCCTTGATGGTCTCACGTGTTGCGCCCATAACGCGGTCAAACTCCAATAGCTTGATGTCTTCAAAAAGCATCATTTTCAATGCCCTCCTGATGATGCTGGCACTGAAGGTCATGTTGTACTTCACCGCAGCATCGTCCAAAAACATGAGCAGTGTAGTCTTGCTGTCAACGGTAGTTTGACCAAGTAGACCTTAGGCATAACACTGTATGGCTGGAACCAAGTGATACATTATGGCCAAAACCACAGTGAATTATATCATATAGTCATTTGATAATCATTAATGTAATATGTTTCTAATCTTGAAGTGAATTGTATAAATTAATATAGTTTGTGACGAATAATTTGGAAACTTATATATACATTATACATATGTATGCACATGTATGATATAAACATTCATTGAAGCAAATTTGTTGGATCATATATATAAATTATTTAATATATATATATATTATTTAGTGTTTTAAAAGAAATATTCATAGCATAGAAGTATGTATTGTGTTAAGGATTAGTCTATGTTGAAACTAATATTTATAGTATAGTATAGATATATTGGCTTTCATCAAAAATCACATAGCATCAGGATATTGTACAAATGTAGATTAATTAATTATATATATTTAAATTAAAATAGTATTAGTATTATATTATATTTTATATATTTTATATTTCTTATATACACAAAATATATTTGTACATTGTACATACATCGATTTACAAATTAATAACCTTTGTGTTCATTCCAATTTGTGCTTGTATTGAACTCTATTTCTTTGAAACTTGACTTGTGAGACTATAGGTTTCTTCATATAGTTTCTCTATTGGTTCAATGTTTGAATGGTGGATGATGGTGAATGAAACAGTTACAACGTCCACAATGAACCAGCTCTCAAAACTCTGAACGCCATATGTTTCAAGTCCCAGTGACACTTGATAACTACTTGCATGTTCTTCACCAGCTCTTCGATCTTCCCTAGCTCTTCATTGATCGGTGGAATCTCTTCACTGTTGCAAACACGTCTGTTGAGAGACTTCATCTTCAATTTGAGATCTGCTTTGAAGGCAGTGAGTTCAGACTGATGTTCTCCAAGTTTGGAACGAAATTCCTTGTCAGCCATCGGCGCACTGACATCACGAAGCGGCTTGAGCTTGTTGTTGTAGGACTCCAAGATAGCGAGATCTGATTTCGACAATGTGGTGCCAGCGTCATCATCGAAGTCCAAGTCCAGCTCAGTCACATTGGCTTCGCGTTTTCCTTGGAAATATAGACATAACTCAATAGCTAGCTTGATGTGGGATATATTTTGTTTCGCTATAGTTTTTTTTTGAAATCTTCAACATTGTATGCATAACTCCAGAAACTTATAATACGAAAACAATAATTAAAGTAACTAAAGCAAAGGCTAGTAGCCAGCATTTCCAACAACAGTCTTCTGTGGCTTGGATTCCTTCTCATTCTTGGACTGTTCTGCTGCATTCTTGGACTTGGTAGCTACGGACCCTGTGGATCTATTCTGCTGCTTCACAGTTGCTGATGCTGCTGCTTTTGGCCTTGCCTTACCTTTTGGTGCTGCCTTCTGAGGTGAATTTGAAGGAGCACTATAGCGATTCAAGAATTTCATCATTCTGATCCCCCCTGTGTTTTCTTCACTCTCAGAACCAGAATCATCAGATTTCTTCCCGTCCTTGTCTGTGCCACTGTTGGCAATTGACTTTGCATCATCTTTTACCTTTGGCCTCTGTACCTTAGTTTTTCAGTAGCGATAGAGGAGAAGAGAAATAATATATAACTTCACTGTTTATATTATATAGCATTACACACGCATATATATATATATAGTAGTAATTATCAATAATAACAATGTTATTCATTATAATTAGAGTTCATCTCTCCAAGTGGAAATACAAATCAATCCCAGTGTGCAGCTTAACTACTTGCTATTCATTCAGGATAAATTAAACTTCAAACAAGTTGCGCCGGATGATGAAGATGACACACCAGCCATTGGTGCATCTTCATGCCTGATTGGGCGAATGTCACGTAGAACGGCTCGTTTGGCAGCCGACTGGATATTGTCAAGTGCTTCTCCGGTGGGGTCAACTGCTGATTCCTCTACCAACTGTGCTTCCCGTTTCACTTGATTCGTACGTTTGTCAATCCTCTTCCACCATCCTGATTTGCCAAGACTCACGTTCACTCCATACACTTTGGTACCACAAGGAAGGTAGTCGGTGGTGACTTGATGCGGTTCAGGTTCCCCATATTCTGCACGGTAGGCTTCAAGCTCGACGAAAAATGATTTGTTGGCCTTAAGTCCTTGTGTACTCTTCTCATTGGTTGTGATGGTCTCCAAACAGCCAATGTTCATTTCGACTCTGAACTTCATCTTGGGGTTCTGAATCTTCATTTTGATAATCCCAGAGCGAATGTCCTACACAGGTTAGTGGTAAGTGAAGCCAAATTGTAAGTTGTAATTTTGCATATTTGTCTTTGACATTGCTTGGATAATATTCTATTCTATAGTACTATAGTGGATGACAACTCTAGTAATGAAACCAAACCGTTTTCATAAACAACATCTCCTGAAACTTGTGACCAACGGTGGGGTCAACTTCGCATGCTCGGTTGAACTTCTCCTCTGTCTTGAACTTTGCTTCAAAGCCTCTCCGGTCCCATACCTTTTCTGTTTTTTGTTCGTTTGTGATTAGATAGTTGTTCAATGTTCCGATATAATATAGAAATATAAAATACAAACCCCATACAATTAAAAAACAACATTTACGTTAGCTAGAGACATGCTACCAAAACAAGCGGAGCGCTCACGACTCCTATTTTTGTCTGTGACGAGTGGTGCAGTCTCTGTACAAACCACTCACCCAGAGAGACTTGCCAGCCGACATTCTGTCAGCGGCATATCCCCCCGGGTGGGTGGGAGGGCCAACAATCAAAATGGGCAAAGACTTGAGCCCAAAATGACAGTAGCAAAACACGCTAACCCTCCGTTCTCGTGAACATCCAAGTTAGCTAGAGACATGCTACCAAAACAAGCGGAGCGCTCACGACTCCTATTTTTGTCTGTGACGAGTGGTGCAGTCTCTGTACAAACCACTAGAGAGACTTGCCAGCCGACATTCTGTCAGCGGCATATCCCCCCGAAATAGGCATGGGCATCCGCCAAATAAAAATCTACAATGGACATGCAAAAGAAAACCCACATGGTATCGACCGTGAAACAAAGAATCAAGGCTGCCTCAGACATTCCCCGGCTCTCAGTAGGCAACCTGTACGTTGAAGCCTCCATGGAACACGGATGAATGCAGAATTGCCACGGCAAAGTCTCACTGGTTCCACTGTCGATCCTGATGGTTTCCATAGTCATAGCTGGACCAGCCATCTTGGTTGCTGCCTCGTTGCCCATCTCTGGTCCAGTTGCCCCAGTTGTCATCGTCTGCGGCATTTGCATCTCTCCGTTGTGTGACATCTGGTTGATGCCGTTGCCACTCACTGCTGCGTCTCGCTTGCCAGTCGTGCCATTGACTTCCTGCTTCCCAGTTGGCCGTGCTTTCAGCTTCAGCCTGGTTGGATGCAGCAGCTGGAGCAGCTGACTGGCGAGGTGGTGGAGTGCTGCGTGATCTATCGGATCGATAGTTGGCCTTTGTAGCTTTTCGGCGGGCCCGCTCCTTGTTCTTCTCTTCGAGGAAACCCGGCTTCAGGACTTGCTTGGAATACCCATGTGACCAGGATTTCGGGAAATCCTCAAAGGAGGCACCCTCCATTTCAGCCAAGGCTCGCTGATGTCGGGCGGCCCGTTGCCGGCCCTTTTGGCGTTGTTTGGCCTCCGCATAGGTGAAGCCATCCTTGAGATCCTTCTCGAATTTGCCTGGGTGCATTTCGGGCAGTGGACGAGTGCTGAACTCAAAGTTGAGCTCCTCCAGTTTGCTCTTGCACCGCTTCCATGCTTGGGAGCGAAGCGTCTTCCTCATCTCTGGGGGTGCTCGCAGGAAAGCTTCCACTTTCGTCTTGGTCTTCTCGAGCAGCTCCTCATCTTCTGCCTTCTCCTCAGGGGTTCGATCATCGTCATCACCATAGTCGACTTCAGACTCGTCAAACCCAAAGTGGTTCACCTCAGTGGGCGGAGCGCCCTCAGAAGATGATGCTGTTGCGCCTGAACCGAGTCCCATAGCTCTTGCCGGCATGGCATATATAGCTGGCTGCTGGCAGTGGCGGAGGGGGCTTCTTTGGTGCTGGTGTCTTGTGCATCAGCACTGGAGGAACTGGTTTGGGGGCTAGGGCTTTCGGCGGCTCCTTTGGCTCAGGTACCTGTTCTGGATGAGCTGGCTTTGGAAGTGGCGGCGGAGCCACCTTTGGGGGAGCCGAAAGCATGGGAGGCTTAGGAGGTGGTGGCTTCTTGAATTCGACACCTTTCGTCCCTGCCATTAGCCATGCTTTTGCGCTGGGATGCATTTTTTAGAAGCCCCGGATGGTCTCCCAAACATGCCTCCCGGACCTCTCTTGGGACAGAAGTCATAGGTGGAGCATCTTCAATCAGCATCTTGGCCCGTCCTCTGTTCACGAAATCCATGAACTGGAGCAGTCCTTGCATCACGGCTTGATCGAAGGTTTGGAAGACTTGCTCAGACCCGGTCCCCTCCTCAGGGAGCTCTTCCCATGCCGGCTCGTCCCAATCTTCTTCATCGAATTGGTGGTCTTGGAGGATGTCCATGTCATCGTCTTCAGCTTCCACCTCAACATACACATAGTCATCCTCGTTGTCTGGGACGGTGCTCTCCGGTGGAAGGTCATCTTCGACCCAAGGCTCAGACCCGGGCTCCAACCAGCTCGAAGGGGCCCTATATCTGGATGACGTCTCTGACCACCAAGACTCAGACGGAGCGTCTGATCGTTTCACCCCTGCATCTGCCAGTGCGATGCGAGGAACTCGCAAATCGCCCACCATGCCCCCTCCAGTGTATGGTTGGGTCGCCCTGGGGAAATGCTTGGCCGGTGTTGGCGGTGCTCCCTTTGGAATAGCTTGCGTGGGTGCCATTTTTTGCATTGGTGGGGTGGTAGGTCCTCTGGGCCTCCCATCATCATTTCTTGGTGGCGGTGCTTTCCTTGGCTTCGCACTTGAGCTCGGAGTAGGCGGATTCGCGGGCGGTGGAGGTTTCCTTGGCTTTTGCGCGGTCCCTGCTGGAGCAGGAGGGGCTTTGGCTGGGGGCGGTCCTCCTTGCGCTCCTCCTCCAGGATATCCCTGTGAAGGGGGGGGCGGTTTACGAGGCACCTCCCGGCCTGCTCCTCCCGAGCTGCTGGCTCCTGCGCCAGCAGGAGTGGAGGACCGATCAAAACTTGATCTGGCTTGTTGGAATGATGAAGCTTGCTTGGCATAGACACCAGCTGGAACAACTGGGGAACGGCCTCGCCCATGCTTTGCAGCAATTTGCTCTTGTCTCCACCTCATGTATTGAGTGGCCATCAGTGGATCCAAGAGGATCTCTCGGACCATTCCCAACATCTTAAACTCCTCTCCTTTGGCTTTCTGGACATCTTCCCCAGCAGTTGCAAAGCGGTCTGGATGAGTCTCACGGGACCTGCGACGATATGCGGTGAGCACCTGAGCTGGAGTCGCACCGGGTGGAACACCCAGGAATTGATAAAGATCTAGTCCTGGGTGAGCTGCTACAAAGAGGTTCGCTGCATTGGCTCGATCTGGAGCTGCTGGCTTTCGTCCCCCATCGGCACTTTCATCAGTAGCATCCATAGCACCAGCCTTCACTGCAAACGATACCTTACGATCTGGTGCCCACGAAAATGCACGATTGGTGTTTGAGCCTCGAGGAGCTCTGGATGTTCGCTTCGTGGCAACTGGGCTGCTAAAAGGGTTTGATCCTCCATGACTGTTATGGAATAACTCATCTTGAGGGACCCCCAATAAACCAGGATAGGACTCTTGGGGTTCAGTTGGAACAACCGCTGGATGCCTACGGACCCCGGGGTCTTTTTGGCTGGGGAGTGTAATGAGGCTGGTACCCAACATCCCTTCTGAAATCCCTTTCTGAGCGGTATGATCTTCATAAAGGTAAGCATGAACAGCATCGGATGACCAACCACCGTACCTCTTAAGCCTTTCTAAGTCCCCAGTACTTGCGAAAAATGCAGTGGCTCCCCCCTTACGTAGTGAGTGTGAACCAGCGAGTTCGCCAGGAAACCCGGCGGCCAATGCAGCTATCTTGATGAAATGGGTGATGCCCTCTCTGTCAAGCCCCGTCCCGTCTTCATAGCGGAACAAAGGCGCCTCGTCTTCAGGGCTGCGCCACCGATGGGGCTGTAGGACCTGTAGCGCGGCTAAGGCTTCAACAGGGCAGAGATCTCCACCGGAACGGTGGTGTGACCGTGTTTGGCCCCTACCATACTGATCGGTTTTGAAGATCTAATCTGCACTACGACTTCATCGGCCTTGGCGCCTATGGTAGGCTGCCCATGCGAAAAGAAAGCAACATCAGCTGGGCGGAGCGCCCTATTCATGGGGTCTTCTCCATTGATACTGGGCAAGAGTTCACTGGCCCGCATCATGAAAAACCAACCTGTAAGAAGGGCTCCTTTGATCATGGTTTGATCGACAACTGATAAACCGCTACTTTTCAAGTGCTGGACCAACCATCGCAACATGTTGGGGGTAACAGGGAGGTTTCGTTTTGGGGCGCCTTCCCAACGTTGTAGACCCGCAACCGCTGCCCACAACCGAGGTCGCCCGACCAGTGGATCAGGGTATCCTGCCGCAACATGTGCATAACGAATGGCTGACAACCTTTGTCTGACCCCACCTATGGACCTTCCCATGACTTGATGTAGAAATACTACAAACCGAATCAACCTCTGCTCGTCTTCAGTCCGAGCGGAGCGCTCTTCTCCGTCAAGGAACGGGTGAGTGCCCGAGCTGGCATTGTACAACGCCCATTGCTTCCAGCCTGATGCATAGACCCTGCGAGTTGAATCAAGCTCTGCTGTGCTCCCTCCTCGGGGGCGGGGGGTCCCAGTAGTCCCGCCTCTTTTGGATGCGGGCTGGACCAGCCTCTCCACTTCACTGAGTGCTGGCTTCACGGTGGTGCGTTTGCCTCCGCCTGCTTTCGCCTGGGTTGTCGCTCCCACGAACTCATGAGTGGGTGCCACTGCCACACGTGGCTCTTTCCACGAAGTAAGGAAAAGCTCGGAAGAGGGAGCCTTCGGGTTCCTCCCCCACGCTCGCAGCCAGACCTCTAGTTGCTCGTGGGCTTGGATCTCATCGGGGTCCAGGACTCCTGCCTTCCCATCGGTTCCAGTCAGAGCCTGCATGAGACTCATAGCCACTTGCCAGCCTGGCTCCCGGACTGCAGCTGCTATCATGCGATCCTTTTTCTTCGAGTCGGCGGAACGCCAATCCTCTGCGAGGCCCCCTTGCATTTCCCACACCTCTTCTGGGAGGAGAGGACGGACCAGACCCGTCCCATCTTCCAACAGGGTGCCTCCTGGGATCTTGAGACGCTCACCTGTGAGCCTAGGTCCGCAAGCTGGGCCCCGTGTGCTATGGACCAGGTGCCTGCTGCCGGCGCGCACGTCAACCAAGTGGCCGACTGGTTTTGGAAGCCACTTGTCTCCGGTGGTGATGAGGTTTGGTTCTCTCGTGAAAAGGTAGTCGGGCGGGCATAATCCCTTACCTGACTCCTCTGCGGATCGCAGAGGTAACATCTGACACTCGTTGACTTGTGCAACTCGCCATGCTTGAACTCTCTCCTTTTCGTCGGCCGTTCCTCCAAAAAGCCAAAGTCTTCTGGCCCTGGCAAAGAAGCTGCCGTGGTGTGAAGTCTGATAGTCGACCACTTGTGCCTGACCCCATTGAACCTGAAGCTGCATCAGGCGATTTCGGCTGGTTTCAGAGAGCTCCCTGGGCTGGTCAACGATAAGTCGTCCTCTCCAATCAGTTCTGGCGAGGGTTTTTAGAAGGATGTCTGCCTCCCGCCCTTTTGGGTCTTGAGTGAGAACACAGACGATCCAGTCAGCTTGCGCCTGGCTTGCGATCGATCCTCCGCCCTTGGCCCACCCCAGCTCGAACGTCAGTAGTTCCGACCCTAGCCGGATTTGGTGGAGTCCCCCTTTGAATGGCTTTGGTTCGATCTTGGCGGGGAAGGCATGCACGGTTTGCTGTTCGTTGGCCAGCTGAATGGCTAAAGCTGCACTCGGGCCCTTCTCCCCTGGTAGCTTCAACGTGGGGCGCATGGCTTCTCGCAGGAGTCCTTCCCAGTCCTCATTGAGCTCGAGGCGGGTCCAGCCACTGCTTTCCATTTCCGCATGGACCTTGTCTTCATCCTCCCTTGTCAGCCAGTCGTTGAGAGTATTGTGGTAGGTACGGACGTACGCTCCATCGACAGTGAAGCTATTCTCCGCTTCGAGCCGCTGGAGCAGCAGCAAGAGCGCCCTCACGTATCTGTTTGAAGCGCGCCTGGTACGTAACCATGCTTTGACATTCATGTTGTCAGTCACATAAAGGATCAGTTGCCCCTGCCAGGTTTCCTTCCGCGCCGCTGCCAGGACAATGAACGTCAGAAGCTCCATCACTCCGATGATCTCCAAGTGATCTCCGCCCCCTACGACTTCGCTCACGGCCCTGACGTATCTGCTGCTGTCCGCCATGTGGTAGCATCTATCCTTCCAATCAGTGCTTCCGAGCCTGGTTAGCGTGGCATCTCCTCCAACGAATCGGGCCGAAGCGGCCATGCCAGGGAGTGCGAGCCTTTCCCTTAACGGCAGGAGCTTGCCGAAAGCTGCTCTGAAACTGGTTCCCCAAGGCTTTTCCATCTGGAGGCGAACCCAATCGAGCGCATCCCAGAACTCAGCCCAGGCAGCCTCTAGCTCACTCTCGGAGCCCCTGGGTTTCACCCATTCATGATCGCCTACTTCCTGCTGCAGGAGCCTGTAAAAGACTGGTAGATAGGGTGCAATCTCCGGGCGGAGACGGCCCAATACTGCGCTGTCCCTGCCAGTTCTCGGAGCAGCTTGGTACGAACTCGTTGGCACCCCCTTTGAAGCTGAGGCTCTCTTAGGAGATGCTTCGCCTTTATTCGCTTCGGTTCCGGGAGGACCACAACCTGTTCTTCAAAGTCTAGGTGGAGGCCCCACAGGAGCTGGGATTTTGCCGGGGTGCCTTCTTCGGCGAGCTTGTCGAGATTGATGGCTCCAGGGCCCCAGACTGATACCATAGCTGCATCCATTGCTGACAGGGATCTCTGGATCCTATTCCCCACTAGTGGCTCTACCACCACGCCGTCATCCATCAGCCATCGGCTGGTGTAGGGAACCACATCGTTGAATTGAGGATGGCATGGTCGGAACGACCCGTGGTGCTTTTGGGCTGCGGTGGCCCATATCACGAACTCCCCTGGCGCTCCTACCCAACCGAACACCATCACCAGACTCAGGATCAGCACACCTAGAATCCTCGTGCAGAATTCAGGGACATCGCCCGGCTTGAGGAAGTGCCACTTGAAAGCCCTTGGCACGTCGCGTTTCGCACACCTCTGTGGAACCTTCGGGTGTCGCACCCTCCACCAAAGGCTTTGCCTGACCACTGCTCTGTGCCTAGGCTGAGCGGCGGGTGGGTGGTCGTATTTGGAGCCCGAAGCATTCCTGGCTCGCATATCGTTGATGGGACGACCTTCCGCTGAGATGGTTCTGTCGGGGTTTTGCTTGGGCACTCGGCCGAGAGGGCTCTCGGCCACCTTGCTCTCGGTCAGTATCTGGTCGATTTGCCGATTTTCTTCTTGGTCCTCGGTCTCTGTGGAACACAGAAGTACCGCCCCATAAGATGCGTCTTTCCATGCCTTCTGCAGCATCTCTTCCTCGTGCCCCCTGACGCTCTTGGGGGTACTCTTAGCTCGGCTGGGCACGCCCTTGAGCACACAGTCTTTCAAGTATTGCTCGTGTAGGGGGCTGAGCCCTTTCAGTGCTCCTTCCTTTGCCTTCTGGAAGTGTTCCCCATACTTCCTCAGCCTCGCTTTGTTGACTAATTCAGCTGCTCTTGGCACCGAGCCGGCGGCCCTCAACAACGCATTTCCTGCCTCTGTGGCTTTTCTCACTGCCTCCTTGCTGTAAGCACTCTGGCATACCTCCAAGTATTTCTCAGCAGTGCTTTGGCCATTGGCGTCGTCCACGCTGCCTGCCCTTGTGCCCTGCCCCTCAGCTTGCTTTTCGGGATCGGAAACAGACCCCTCCCCCCCACAAAACGTACAAGGGTAGACCATCTGTTGGAGTTCGCATCCTGAACAGGTGTAGCCATGTGGGAGGCCTGGTCCATCCGCTTGGCCAGCAACCACCGGTGCCAAATGTTGGCCAAGGGTTCGCTCCAACGTATTGGCTGGATCAGCCGGCCAAGGGGGTGCGTCCAGTTCGGTCCAACATTTCTCTAGGGCTTTGAGCACGCTGTGCTCTTGCAGATATGTTGTCCAGCTCCATTCTTCAAAAGCTGCTCGGACTACCAGACCCCAGGCTGCACACAAAGCTGGTGCGTATTGCTGTGCCAGTCGAGTGAGAGGTACTTGAGGAATTGGACTGGGTCCCTCAAGGGTGCGTGCTGGTGAGTCGGGCCGACTCCTGGGCACTGCCTACCAAGGAATAACAAGGCCCATGGGTAGAGTTCTGGGGAGACCAGCCACCAAGAATGCTTGCGATGAAACAGGCCCTCCTCAGTCTCAGGCGGTCCCAGACCCCAAGCGCACATAGCCATAGAGACAATTTTTGCGCCGGTGCGGCGGCGGAGCCTCTGCATACAAGGCAGGTCCCATATCTTGGGGTAGCGGCCCGACGGCGCGCTACTCTCCAATGCGAAGACTCTTCCGTTGTCCGCCAGAACCGTACAAAGTTCGGCTGCGAACTCTGCGTCTTCATTTCCTTGAACTTCAGAGGGACGAGTGCCGTCGCCTTGTGGGCGTTGCCAGGTCCTGCTGCCACCGTTCTTCAGCTGGTGGTCGCAGAAGGAAGTACAAACGACTCCAAGCTGCCAAGTGTTGGGGACATCGGGCCCTGGTGGAGCACCAGCTAATCCCAGCAATCGTTCTCGGACCTTCGGGTCACGGGTATCATGCTGCGGCTTAAAGCCCTTTTGCTCGATCGGGTCCTCATAGTATTCAATGGGTTCTCCGCACGGGATCCCCTGGTACTGAAGCCCCTTGGTCCATCCTGCCCATCCAGCGTACACCTCTTGACCAATTGGCCCATAGGCGAAGGCGAGCCTTTTTCGCAGAGGCACACCGCTGTTTTGAAGAGCCTGTGGATCATCCTGCAAGCAGGACTCAAATGAAGCCGGTGGCAACGGGAATCCTTCACCAACACGATAAGGCCTTTGCTGCTGTTGCTGGCATCTTGTGCAGGCGGGGGACTTGGCTGGAACCATCTGATCCTCCACTTTGCTCTGGTCCAAGATCACCCTCCAATGTTCAACCTGAAGTTCCCTGGTGACCTTGTCTGCAGTCCTCAGGTGATCCAACAGCTGCTGGGGCTGTTGTGGAAGAAGCAGGCGCATATGCCCCCGGTGGATGGTAACGAAAACTAGCTTCCCATTGCCAGCATCATCTCCGTGGAGCAAGTCGACCTCCAACCGACCAAAATAGGAAATCCTGAGGACCGCCAACGTGTATCCTTGCAGCATGGATCCTGTGAGGGTTTGCAAGGCGCGGTAGTCTTTCTCGTGGTGAGGATAGAGGCAATCATGGACGTTTTGACGCAAGAAGTGCTCGCCCTCAGGTATCCACGCTGGCGGATCGCCAAGGTGTGCGTGAGCCTCCACTGCTTCATCCCAGAGATGTTTTCTCAACTGGTTGGCTCTGGCTACGGCCTCTCGTAGTTCTACAGATGGATCATCGGCCAACGCTAACCCGACACCCACATGAAGAGGCAGGCATTGGCGCTCTTCTTCCAACTGCCCGTCTTGCAGTGGGACCTCGCTGTCTTTTGCGTTCAAGCGATCCTGGTAGTCACGGACCGTGACTGAGCCGATATGCGACAAGTTTCCTTGAAAGTTCAACAGGCCATGACCAATACCCTCGTCCCATGTGATGGGCGTAAATTCGACATCCGCTTGGTGACCCGCTTTTGGCTCGTGCTTGAGGAGCTCAAGTTGACGTCCGGCTTCCTTAGAGAGCGCGGGATGTCCATGTTCTGCCGCATCTTCGAGACACCGGTTCAGCTCCAGTTCATATCCTTCATCTTGTGCTGCCATCATGCGTGCAATCACATGGGACCTGAGATAATCCGTGGGCGACTCCAAGGCCGCCAGAACCCCTTTCTCCTCCAGCGACTTCCATCGTTTCAGCCTTTCCCGCTCCTCTTGGCTCTGGTCATCCCAAGCCGGAGCGGCTTCTTGCTCAGTGGGTTGTGAGGGTATTCGCAGCCAGCCCTCATCTGGGCCCTGAACCGCCTCTTGCAAGTCAGTCTCGAGATGGGTCAGAGGGATATCATAGTCTTCAGGTGCGACCCACTGGGTGTTCCCAACCTTGTCTTCTTCAGCTTTACCCTCAGCTTCCTTCCCAGCTTTGGCCTTTGGCTTGGGCTTGACTTTCGCTTTCTTGCTAGGTTGGATCTTGTCGGCCTTATCCGCCGCTGCCTGGGTTCGCAGCTGAGCGACCCTTCCGTCGACCTCTTTGGGATCGATTTTCGGCCCACCTTTGAGTCCTCCTCTTCGAATGACCTGCATGGCAACTGTGTAGTCAAGTTTGGCCAATCCCGGCAAAGGCTCGTGCGCGTGCTGGCACTTGTCGCCTCTTGTGCATCCCATGTGTGTGGCCGCATCCCAGCAGATAGGTTTGTTGGTCTTGGGATCCTTAGGTGCGTGCTCCACGGACCGTGAAGCTTCTCCTTGTGTAAGCCGTTTTCCAGCTGGGTAGGCTGATTTCATGCTGCCGCCCGCATATCCATCGGCCTCTTTGTCTTTCAGGTTAAGCTTTGGGGCTTTCCCTGTCCTTGGCTCTTCATCTTCAGCTGGACCAGCTGTCTTCTTCTGCTTGAGGTTGTGGTCGTGCAGCTGCTTGTGGAGCAGCCTCGACATTTGCCTTTGCTGCCTGGGTACCACAACTGTCTGGTAATATCCGTTCGGGTCGCCCAGATCCCATATGCTTGGAAACTGGAAGTTTGCTTGCCCATCCGCTCCCGGCGCCAAAGCTAGCAGCTTCAGGTCTTCAAGCCGTGGATTTTCGGTCCCCAGCAGAGAGCAGAGTTTCCTTCTGCTTTCTCGCAGTTCTTCGCACCAAGCCGCGACAAGTTCCTCAAAGAGCTCGATGCAGTAGGCAGCTGGGAAGGCATGCTCGTCTTCTTCATGGGCCTCCTTCAGGGCTTGGAGACAATCGAGCCTTTCTTGGATATGCTCTGTACCATAGCAGGATCCAAACACGCGAACTGAGTTTTCCGCGTACCTGAGCCAAGTGTTGAAGACTCCTGGTGGTCTCATGCGATTTTCGATCTTGTTGTCGGAGGACGGATTCCAACTGTCCAACTGCTCGGACCGAGCGGTAACGCAGTCACTTGCGTGCAAGGTATAGGTGTCTTTGCCACCCCACCACAGACCAGCGATGCCAAGTAGGACCCTGTTGGTCATCAGCACCGGCCATTTGATCAAGTGCAGCATATGGCGAGCGTGATTTGCCACCCTTTTCCCCGCGTGGAAAAGTTCCTTCCCGTACACTCCCGGTGCGAGTTCAACGGTCAGGGTGCCACAGCCTCGTGCCAGGAAGACGTCCATCTTCTCCGCCTCTTTGATAGAACTCAAGGTCCCTTTCGTGAGGTTTTTGTCGTCATCCTGTGCTCTTCTCAGACCGTCGATGGCGTGAATGATGCGGTCCGCGCTCTGGACTTGTGTGCTGTCTCCGAGGGCTTCTCCGAACGTGGCTCCTGCTCTGCCATCCGGCATCTGCTCCGATGCTGGTTTCACGAGACTGTTTCGACCGCCTGACCCCTTGGGAAAGAGCGACAATCCACCTCTCTGGACCGGGGGGATTGAGGAGGAGCTCCTCGGCAGAAGTGGATTCGCCGGCCGGGGGACTGCTGGCTTTACGGTCACTCCTCCTGGCATAGTTGCCGTCACGGGTCTTCTTGCAAACTCCATTTCGCTTTGGTCGGCTCCCAATCCTGGTGGTGTCGTTGGCTTCGAGTAGCTAAGGCGGTGATTCCTCGCATACATCGACTGAGCCAGTTGCTCATGATCTAGGTCGAAGGCAGTGGCCACGGTCTGCAACACTTCGGAATCTATCTCTCCCTCAATGTGCTGGTCAAGAGCTCTTCGAGCCGCCTCCATTCTTCCCTGGCGATCTGAATCATCTAGGTCTGGGAAGGGTGGAATCGCCGGTCCCGCACCCTCTTCCAGCTCGACTTTCGGCTTTGGCGGTGTCATAAAGTCGTCGGACATCTCAGCTTCTTCACGCAAATATGCATCAGCATGTGGGAGGATCTCCCGGTAGAGTCTCCCCTGCCAGGCTTTACTTGGCTTCGCTCCTTCATCCGTCACCTCACCGTCCCAGGCATTCAGGGCCGCTGCTTGGTCTTCGGACAGGCGCGCGACCAAGACCGATATCCCTTGGCCGACTTCTTCGTCATGGGTATGCTGAAGGAACTTCTGCACCCAATGCTTACTAATTCGACCCGCCCCGTTGTCTCGAGGGGACCCTTTCAACAGCCTTCTGTGGATCACACACGTTTGCTTCAAGGAAGGGATGTGGACTTCGAGCAGCTCCTGGCTGCGCCCTTCTTCGGCGAACCCCTCGATGCGCCCCAACCATGCAGTCCACCTGGGTGGGGCCTCCGCGGTTTGTAATGACTTTGGTCTGAGGAGCACCATGCACGGGCCCTTCTCAAGCTTGCCTTCAATCTTCTTCTGGGATTCACTAGGATCGGCCGAAGCAGCCCTGGGCCCAAGTCGTTCAGCGCCGTCAAAGATGATCCGGCGGCTTCTTCGTGCAGGGGTGAGGCATTCTCCTTCGGACATAGATGCCTCGGATCGTGCAATGGAGCTATCTCTCTCATGTGTCCAGCTAACCCTGCGGGTAGGGCGAGCACAACCACCAAGGTCCGTCAGGTGGTGCTTGCAGAGGGGAACTCCCTGTTTGGCACCATCAACCTGTTCGTAGCAAGCCAACACGCTGCATTTTCGGCTTGAACATGCCGCCACGTAGAGCTGCCGATGATGGTCGCAAAGCCTGACGGAGGATCTCCTTTTGACGTCAGAGAGTTCTCTGTCCCTCTCCAGGAGCCGGACCGGCTCTCCGATAGCCCGATCTGCACATGGGTCTGTGGCCAATGCTCTCGGTTTGCCTCCATGTTCCAAACCGACTAATACGGCCTCACAAGGGTCATCTTGTACCTCTACTTCAGATTCAGATTCCGCATCCAAGGGTCTGACGACGGCTCCTTCGACTATGGTTCTGGGTGGCGTCCGCTTTGCCCAGAGTTGTCTGAGAATGAACCATCCCGTCAGATAGTACACGCAGAGACTAAGCCCCCGCACCATTCTACGTAGCCATCGACCCATCAAGACGATCACCCTGCGGGTGGACCACCCTGCATAAGCTCCCAAATCCACCAGCCCATTGGCATCCACCGAAGCGTAAGCTTTGCAATGTAGACCGGGTGTTGGTTGCAATTCAAGCGGACACCGCTGCTCGCGACAGAGATGGATTTTCCCCTCCTGTTCCAACGTTTGGCGAAGCGCTTTCGACGTGGAACCCTTCACTCCACGGAGACGAACCCATAACCCGTATCGATCCACACGTGCCCAATGATCCCCGTCTACCTTCAAGCGAGCTATTTGGTCATTCACCACAACAGCTACGTCATTGGGTTTTCTTTCTGAACCTCGACCCTTGACGCCTCGTTGGTAGAATTCGGAATCGACGCCCCCGCTAGAGGCGGGTCCACGGATATCCAGCTTTCGTATGTGCCCCCAGGTCTAAGTTCGGGGAGGAGCTCCCCCACCTCTTTGGCTACTGCTCTGGTCTGTCTGCAGCAACATTTGCAGAAAGCTTGACAGGGCCGGCAGATAACCAATAGCAAGTAGAGAATCAAAATTGCTCCCAAAACCACGATGGCACTTAACAAACATCTGGCAACCCATGGCCAAAAATCTCCGCATGTCCACACCCCCAGCTGATCCAAGAAGTACAATCCCCACCCTCCTGAGGAGCTCAGGGTTCCAGGTGCTGTTGGTGTGCTGAACCATGAGGAGCCTATCCATGAACGGAAATCAAAGTGGAGGACAGAGTATCCCCACACATGGGCTATTCCTTCAAACGGGATTCCAGATTGAGAACTTTCCTTCGTGGGATCGGACTGACCTTCTGATACTTCGGGTTGATCTTTCCCATTGGTGACTTCTTCCTCCCTAGATCCAGTCATCCCATGAAAGACATCCAGGTACCATGGCAGGCCATACACAGAAGGGGAACCTACACTGGAAACTAGCCCTAATATGAGCGCCCAATTGCAAATGGGCATTGTGACGATTTCGTCAGTATCCAACAATCAAAATGGGCAAAGACTTGAGCCCAAAATGACAGTAGCAAAACACGCTAACCCTCCGTTCTAGTGAACATCCAAATAAGCATAAACATGACACCACAGCGCATACCTTACAGACTTCCCCTGATGGTTTGAGTTTGCTACCCCTTTGCCATGGCCAAACTGGCCACCATGCTGATAGGGCAGTATCACGAGTGTCCCATGCGCATAGGCCAAAGGATCATACTCCGCAAAACCGACAACGATGCCCCTTGTATAGAGCGCCCCAAGGTTCAAATCACTCGGCACATCAGGACATTCAGTCCGGGACCCCTTTGTTTTCCCACTGGCGACCGACATTGCCAGAACTCACACTCGTGTTCGCACAACACGGAAGATAACACTCACCACTAGCGACTCAAGACTGAGCACTCAATCAGCTACAGTAGCCACAATAATGCTAATATACCAACAAAGCAATATAGCATTATTGATATGTGCATTAGATATCGGATGTATGTACCATGTTGTCCTGTCTATATGCATCATGTACCTTTGGATGTGTACCATTGTACCATTGTATATGTACCATTGTACCACCCCATATGTACCACTGTACCATCCCATATGTACCATTGTACCACCCCATATGTACCATTGTACCACCCCATATGTACCATTGTACCACCCCATATGTACCATTGTACCAACCCATATGTACCAGAAAAAACATTGGTTGTTTTTTTTTTTTAATTGGTTGTGTTTTTTCTGGTACATATGGATTGGTACAATGGTACATATGGAGTGGTACAATGGTACATATGGGGTGGTACAATGGTACATATGGGGTGGTACAATGGTACATATGGGGTGGTACAATGGTACATATGGGGTGGTACAATGGTACATATGGGATGGTACAGTGGTACATATGGAGTGGTACAATGGTACATATCCAATGGGACAGTGGTACACACGCAATGATACAATGGTACATTTATACATGTCTATGTGTAGATATATACACAGTACAAATAACTATGTTTCAGCACACATGTATATGCATTCCATGGTTTATTACTCTGAAAACAAAGTATATTGTGCAACATCTTGCAGCAATGATGCGCCCTGTCACATTATGCACAGATAATTGAAGTGTTCATTTTTTTCCCTTCAACATTGTCGAAACAGTTCTCTATGCAACTACGGGCTCATCCATCAGCTGAAAGTACCATTGGAGTAAACCTCAACATTGTGGTTCAATACAAAGAAAGGGAAATTCAAAAAAAACTAACACATACAACTCACTAAAATAAATTATCATAAGATATGTTTCAAACATCAAACAACCACATGATATTGCACATCAAACAAAAAACAAATATACTAGTATGAAAAGAGAAACAAAAAGCCATGTGGTCTGAAGCCTGATCTCGGTTCGGTAATTCTTTTCCACTGTGAAGCCACTGAATTGCACTGGCCTTCATCATTGTTTGTTTTAGAGATGAGCATACAAACTAAAACATTATAAACTTAAATCCATACAATCACTTAAACCCATTGATAATATAAAACAACAACAGACCATATCTCTCGATCTACATTTTTAAGCATGATGGCCTGAAAAGTGCTTGGTAGCCGACTCATCAAGGTAACCTTCCTGCAATTCTTGTGCTGATAGCAGACCACAGATACCGAATGACCAGAGGTGTTCTGCTTCCATTCAGTAATCCTTCCTGAAGGGAAGGCAATAACAACAACATAGTGCTATGTTGTTATTTGTGTTCTTTTGTTTCTTTTTAACAACATACCAACAGACCCTAAAAGTGTATAAGTAAAAACATATGTTTTTTTATCAACCGCTTGCCTATAGGTGCGTTTTTCTCAGGCACAGAAACACGTCCATCTTCTTTTTGGTATGCTATCATATGTCCTCCCGCATCAAATACCTGAAACTCAGAAAGCACACATTTCGGTTTTGCTTGAGAGGCAGAAGTATGTGAACTCGTGGGTGCTGTAGCAGTAGATTTTGTAGCAGAAGCTGAAGATGATGAACTTGGTTGCTCAGATAAAATGCACGCTCCATGTACCTAGGCGACTGCGTCTGTATTGAGTACTAGGTGTTATGTGACATAGTGGTGTCATCATCAAAGCTTGTATTTCAACTAGTGATGATCTTATATAACAAGTATAAGGATACATCATATTACCTGATACAAATCAATCATAAGTGGTTTTGGGGTTTAGTTTAGATTAAACTTATGAGATTAAGGATATATCATAATTGTTTTGTTTCAATAACTGATCAGTATAAAAACACATATACAACTTCGGATACTGCCTAGTCACTGAATCGTGAGCTGTTTTCCATGCACTCTCCAGCTCAGCATCATCCACTGCATCAAGATCATCTCCTATCCAAACAAGAACAAACACACGCACACCCATACCTAGTTTGTTAGATGTTGATTTGTATATATTGTGTTTTTCTTGTGATTGTGTATGAAATATCTATCTACATATACACATATATAAATATATACATCCAACTACACTATAATGCATTATGTATTGACATGACTTCTGTGAATCCACCTGTCATAATCTACATTGGGTTAATCCAGTCTCATGTTCTATCACAACTGGTGGTCTCCTGATCGTGTGGTGGAAATTGGACCTTCTGCTGCATCATCTGTCTTCCTCTTGGTTGATTTGGTCTGCTGTGCGCTTCCACCTGTTCAGGGATAGACAAAAAATACACTTTAAAGGCACCTTTTGTGGCAAAGAAATCATAAGAACAATATAAACATAAGAGATTAGTGTAACACACACATATATCTTAGTAACATCAAATTAGAATCATATATGTTTGGGGTTGAATTTGAATTTGCGGTACCCTGCCTGGACCGATTTTCTTTACATTGGTACGCTTCGATTCATTGTTTGTTGTCTTTGGTTGCTGGGTTGCCTTTTTCAGGAATGAAACTGATGTAGCCACATTGTCTTCCTCTTCAGAACTGGCCATCACACTGTCTTCAGACACCATAAGCCAAGATTCTGCAAGTGGGAACTGAAATTCAATCTCGCTCAAAGATCGAACCTTAGTTGTAGGCATGATTGAAATTATACTAAATGTTGTAACACATATGTGTTCATAATATCCAACTACATACAAATAAATGCTCGTATCTATGCTTAACAAAATTGTAGTAGCATGGTTTCAACTTGTTATTTTTATGATTTGTTTTTGTCTAGGCTGTAAACCATTGTGCTATATTATGCAACATCTAAATATTTTAACTATATATAATATAACATATCTGATTATATATATATATATACACATTCGAGAGTTTGTTATATTCTGTTATGGAAACATCATGTTAAGATGCGTTCTGAAACATCTTTGTAGCATAAAATATACTAGAAACTAGTTGTTTGTAACTGATCTATACCCAGCAATATTGTGAAACATACCACATATCAAAATTATCACCGCAAATTGAAAAAATCAAATCCGAACGAAACTTTATATTAAACATAATATCAACAAAATGGTAGTTATACAGCTAATGATCATTCACTTCTCAAGTGTCTATTCAAATAATTTATTATTTAGATTTCCATTGGTTTGAATTTGACTCAACTACATTGAGAATGCTGTATGCAAAAAAACAAGCATAAGGTAATGTGCACTAGATCAATAAGCTTTGTGTCACGAACATCAACTTTTGTAACGTGTTCGCCCTTGATGATGATGGATGGAAAATTGTCAATGTTTGGTATAAATTCAAGAGATTGCAATATTAATAAAAATTAAAATTGCAAGATTTGTTGTTTGTTTATGTGTTTGCAATCTATGGAACACATCAACATATATATATATATTGTTTGCAAAATTATAGTCATATATTCATAGTATGTGTTGCTGGTTCAAAAGGTTTACTGAATACATATAAAAAAATAATGTACCTACTACAAACTTAAGACTCTTATGTTTTGCGTAATTGATCGCAATCAAAAAGTCGGCCGTTG